ATTTTTGTAATTTTCTTCTTCTTCTTTCAAAATTGTTTGAAATAGCAGATTCCTGATCACTGTTGAAGGAATTAGTCAGTTTGAACAAATTTTTACATTTGTTGCTCTTTAAATAACTTATCCAATAAGCTTTTTCTTTGGTCTGTCATCAACAGTTAGAGGCCATGATTTCTTTCCAGTGGCATACTTAATCCATTCTGATTGCTACTGTTGATTGACCTTGATGACAGACATATTTATTCAGCTGGTGAAAGAAATAGTCTTTGGTAATGTAGGTTCTACTAGATAGGCATCCATTATCATCCCTTTTTAAAAATATAAGAGGTCTTTGCTTTTGTTTATAGTTTTGCAGAGTAGCCATCATGTATCTATATATCTCTTGATGATAAGTCTATTTTGCTTACACAAGTAAATGAAGTTGTTTATAAATGTGTGCATAAGAGTGGAGAAGGAAGGTGTGCTTCTAAAGTTTCCAGTCACAGATAGTAATGATTTACATTTTAACATACTTGTTTTAAGTACACTTACTATTAGTTGTTGTGATGCTACTAAATTAATAAGGTATTAATATAAATAATTTGTTTTTAAAATGGTAAATTATATATGGTGGATTGATTGTAATTTTAAATTATGGGGTTTTTTATTAATAAATTCTCCATCTTTTGTCATTGTGTTCAATTAAACCTGTCAAGGTACATTTTGATTTTTTAAAATGTGGACTTTTTGTCCTCAGAAAAATTCCTTAGTTTATCAACAAGTTCAGCGAAACTAGAACACTTAGGAAAAACCCGGCCCAAACGCCCTAAGAGTAGAGCTCCAACTCGTTCAAAAGTGAAGCCATTAGAAACTCATGAAGATATACATAATTTTAGTGAAGGACTGGAAGTTTTTTTTTGCCATCATCCAAACACCATGTCCATGCCAACCTTGTCACCTGACTCAGATGATTTAAGGTAAGTTTTATGTTCTGGTAGTCATGTGTATTAATATTCAAGCTAAGCAAGTAAGAAAATTGTTTTCTACAGTATCTAGCTAATTAAAACTCCCATGAATTTTATTGCAGTGTATTTAAACTTGACATAATAATTAATGTTTGGTAAATTTTTAGTTACTTTCAGTATTAAAAGTTTTTTTTTTCACATATTCTTTTCAGTTTGTATAGATGGACAGTCACAATACACACTGTTTGTACTTAGAATTTTTAAAGACAAAACAAGATTGAATCATAATGAATGGACATTTGATAAGGATGTGTGATTGTATTTTTTGAATAATACAAGTTTCACTTTTAGTACCACAGATAAAACTTGTAGAAAAGTCCAGCTTAATATTTTATATATCTAAAATTCAATTGAAAATAGTTCATTTCCTATAACCATGCAGATCTAGAACATACAACAATAGCACCACAACTAGTGGAAATACTAATGTCAGTGAGTCTGCATCTATTGGTAGCAGCTCTTACTCAGTTATGGGGAAAATGCAAGAGAAAGAGAATGAAAAGAAAGGGTAGGAGTACTTTTTGAATGCAAGTGTCTCAGAATATACAGCATACTAATAAAGAATAATTCAAATTACTTATGTGTTAAATTATTTTCAGGTTTTAAAATTATTTTATATTAGAACAACTATTAAAAAAGGTATTTTATAATATCTTTTAAAACAAAAACTGCTAGTGTGGTATGTCTTGATAAACCACGATTGTGAGTTTCAAAAAGTATTAAAAATTGTTTAAAATCCAAAGAATTTGCAAGGAATTAGTTACTTGAAATTGAAATGAGACTGGAGCACTATTAATCCTTTGTGGACCAATGACTACCTTTTTCGGTATCGAGTACACACCTGCAAATCAGAATTTCAAAAGTCAAGTAAAAAAACAAGGATTCTTACTCTTTTTAAACAATTTTTTCGTGAAAATATATTATAATTGATATGTTGTAACTTTGCAACATTTATTTAGTGTAATCAGCAAAGAATAATGACAAAATGTTCAAACATACATTTTTGCACAGCTCTAAGGCGTCTTGTATGTAAAAAAGCGCATTTAAAAATATTTGAGATTTTTTTCTGCCCATCGCAAGACATAGGTTTTAATTTGCTAAGATACTACAATCCATGAGAAAACAATTAACCAACACTTGTTTTTCCTGTGATTTTCTTTCTCTGTTTGACCATTTATTATTAAAGGCCTCCATTCACATCACATGTGAAGTCATAAAAGGATGGGAACAACTACTAATAAAAACAGTTTTGAAAATAACTACCATTGGATAGAGCACATTATAAACTATATATATATCAATGTAGAATGGATAAAATGGTGTGATAACTAAGTTATCATTTCATGAGAAGGTGATTGGATGTAGCTTCTACAAATGACAACTCTCTGAACCTAATAAGGCTTACCTGTTATCTTGTCACAGAAAAAAAAGACCATAGCATTCAAACAATTATAATTTGGCATGAAAACATTTTCAGGGATTACAAGAACACCTAGAAAAAACTACAAAAATATTCCCAGATCTGTGATGTTTCCTAAGTCATCTAAACTACCCACTAAATTCCATTGTTCTTCTCTGCAGGAGCTACATCTAATCACTTTCTCACTAAACCGTAAGTGTCATAGTTTCTATATGTGGGCTTGGATTCTTTACAATAGGTGTTTGTGACTTGTTGGCGATAAATTTGAACAGTAAACGGATAGCACACAATCCACTTGTTTTAAAATGATATATTCAAAACAAGTCAAACATATGTACAAAATTCTTTACACTATACGATATCTCAGTCATATCTAAAACTCTAAATAATTCTCTTTTTTTTGTCAAAAGTCCACTTAGGCTGATTCAATTAGTTTTGAATCTAGTTGACAAGACAAGTTATTTTTTTCTACTCCATTTCTTACTGTACAATCTGCTATAGATTCACTTACGTTACTCTGTGGGTTACCACAGTTATATCTCAAACTTCAAATAATTGTCTCCTTTTCATCAACGTCCACACAGATGGGTTCAATTACTTTAGAACACCCTTTGACAAGACAACTTGTTCTCCTTATCTCTGTTAAACTGTGAAACTAACTTTAAAATATCATCTGTTATGGCTACTCACTCACACACCTACTAACTTCACATTTTCTAACTTTTTTTCTGACTGAACTTTACTTTCACTTCACCTTTTCTCTACTTGACTTGTATTTGCTTGGTCGCCAATATTTATACATTGTTCACTGAGGCCTCAAGCTTTCTATAAACTACATGAGCAATGCTATAATGTAACAACGCTAAGTTAAGGTAACGAGAAAAATACCGAACATTTGAGTAACTTGGCATCAACAATTAAACCATCACAATGTATGACTCTTACTGAGTTATGCAACTAAACTTGTCATAATTGTTGCCTTTAAAATAATTACTTTTAACTCTGTTGCTATGAAAAGTAAATAATCATTAAATATTAAGTCACAAAACAAACCAAATAACAACACTTACACCAAACAGTCTCGTATATCCAACAGTAAGTTACTTCTTAAGCTACTTTATCACTCTATATTGAGAATTATTTATAGTTTTGATAGCTGTTCTTTTCATTCCTGAAAATGTTTTCACACTATCTTATATTTGTGTGTAAAACTCTGATTTTCTTCTATGACATCAGGAAAGCCATATTATGTTTAGGGAGTATAGTGGCAACAGCAAAATGTACTGGAGACTCAAGTCCTTATTTGTTGAATATTATTATTAAGTTTATCATATTGCATAAATAAAATAACTTAGAATTTATTGAAAACAAAGTATATTTATTGGACATAAATTGATTTTGACCAAGAATGCAGTTAGGAAACATTGTTTCCTAGTCTGACTGTTTTTTACAATATATAGCCAGAAGTAGTGACTATTACAATAACAAAAAAGTTTAATGAAAATATTGTAATGAAATTCAGTTAAGTTGAAATTGACTGAATATATAAAATAGAACTTTTTCATCAACAAAAAAATTGAAATTCTAAGATGAAATGAAATATTTTAATATATTTTCAAAAGAGTGTCTCACAAAAGGATTTTGAAGATTTTATATCATACAAAATTATAGAAAACTTAGTAAAATTATATAATTTTCTTTAACCTAAACTAAGTACTACTAAATGGTAAGTGTCATGCAATTTAGTTATGTATTTTGATTGTCAAAAGAAAAAGAACAAGATATATCAGTGAGAAATCCCCTCTCAATCCAGAAAGGTTAATACAGTGATCTGGTGCCAGTAGTCCTGACAAATGCACCAGTTATTTTACAGTTCAATTGATCAGATGTTTTATTGCAAAATAATTTTATTTGCTGAATTGCAGATTTTTGCTTAGTCATAATTTTTTGCTTTTGAAACTGTTTCAGTATTTTTGTGTGTCAGATTTGCTGCTTTGTGCATAATGTATGTAATGTATGACATTACAAAGGGCAAAAAATACTCTGTCTAATAGTGGACGTGTTGAAAGTTTTTAATCAACAACTTCAGATTTACTCCATTCATATAGTTTTATTATCTTGCAGCTTTGTGTAAAATATAAATATTGCTGTATATGGTATAACTGACTAAAATAAAATAAAACTATGACATGTGACAATGTTGAAAGTTTTTAATCAGTTGTTTTGGGTCTGTGAATTCTATGTTTAAACTTTTTTTAAGTTTATAGAACAGTATAAATTAAAATATGATTTATGAAGAGGTAGTGAGGTTGAAATATTTAAATGACAATTTTATGCAACAGTTTTATTCACATATATGTGTACGTGTATTATTATTATTCTTTTCAGCTTCATTAAGTGTATAAGCAGTCTTTTTAGCTGGATGTCAACAGACTCCAGTCAAATGCACAAGTCTAAGTCTTATGATATGTCTCATAAGTCAAATGTTGTCACCTGTATAACAGAGACAAGCAGTTACTCCAGTGGAGCAGAAGGCGAAAGGAATTTTCATTTCAGTAAAAGAGAAAAGAAAGAAAATGAAGGTGATTTTTTTTCTCATATTTATTCTGTCTGTAAAATTAAGAACAAGAAAAATAAGGCTTATTTTGATTATATCTGTCCCTGACTTTTTTATCAGATGTACAGAATTGAGGCATCTTGTGTTCTGACCTTTTTGTCAGTTTAGCCCTTACATGTTGCCAAAGTATTTCTCCTTTTTTGATAAATACAAGAGTTTTCACAAGTGTCACTAACAATGAGAATTATTTATAATTGTTGAAATTACACATACTTTCCTTTTAGAGAAAAATACTTAAAACATTTTTAAAAACTTCACAAAATGAACTAATGTTTACTGATTAAAAGTACATTACATCCTTTTGTCATCAATTCATAACCATGTAACAAAATAACTTATTTCAAAAATAGATATATATTCAAATTAACATTCCAATACAATACCTTACCTCTTGTCATATAATAGCTTTTCTCAACTTGCGCTGCTTTCTATATGCGCAGTTTTGAATTGTCACTAGCCTTGAGGCTCCCACCTAAGATCACGTGTTTATACATTGCAAATGAGCATGACAACCCTCCACTAATAGGAATATGATACATCCTCATAGCACAGCTGTCTCCCTCTATGCTATAGAGTACAATCATAACTTCTCAATTTAGCACTCGTGTGTAATGATTTGTATTTTTTTTCACTTGTGAACTTTTCAGATTTAAGCATTGTCAGTGGAAGCAACTACAAAGACATTATTTCACAAGTGTCATTATTAGTATGAATACCAAGACAATTCTTAATTTTCACTTTGAGAATATGGATTATTTTTTTAAGTGTTTGAAGAAATATTACCAAGGTCCAGTCTTGGTGTCAACTTATGTTAAGTCACTTACAGATGAATAAGTTACAGCTAATTCAGAAAACATGAAAACAGTTTTATAACTTTATGTTTCTAGGTTTATTATACTTTTGAAAAATTTTGTTGTGTTTTATAAAAGGCAGTCGAGACTTTTGTATAGGTTTACATTAGAGTTGTGAGCAGGCTATAGCGTTCTAATAAGAAAAGCTCTGATTAATAGCTTAATATTATTACTTTTTCATAAAATATATAATGTTTTGTCCAGGAATGTAGCTTTGTATGAAGGTTGCAGTTTTTTATCCATAAAAGTTCTAATTACAAGTAATATTAGTCATAGTTGAAACTGTAGTGTACTTTCCATTAAGTTTGAGATTATTGTGAAATTATTTCTTCTAATCTTGGGAGAAGACAAAAGTGTTTTACTCAGGAAAGTTGGTATTGTTTGCTGTATGACTTTAATCCTGGATGAAGACTAAAATCCTTACACTTGCCATTTAGGTTTTTTGCTTCACTTCTTGTAAAGGCCTTTTTGTGGCCTAATCAGGAAATTGTGATTATTAAATGAGTAAATTTTAATCTTCCTAAAAACCTGAAATGTCTTTCCCACAGCTTCTCATTATTGTTTTTTATATTTATAACTACAATTATTTTTTTCTATCAATAAGTCATTTATTACTATAAAATACTGGAATAGCTTAGAATAGAAAAATACATTAAAATATTGAAGGTTGCTGTTAAACTTGTGTTTAATGATTTTTATTTGTATACAACAGTGTTTCTGTTCACAAAACTAACATTTATGGTTTTAGTGTGTAAAACCATTAATTTTCATTTGTGGTGTTTATTTTTGTAATATTTTTAAAAAATTTGTCTGATAATTCGAAAAAAAGGTAGTTAATTGTGAAGTTTTAAGAATAAAAAGTATATTTTATTTTATTTTTAATGCATTTCCTTTCAAAACATTATTCAAGAAATTATAGTAAATGCACAAAGTCAACAACATGAAGAAGGAATGAGTTGTATCTCAGCTGCTGAGAAGTTTTGGGTGAGGCTACCTTCCAAAGAACCAGGATTTTGCATCTTAGTAGAAATGAAAGCTCATCAAGAAAAGATATCATCTGTATTTGTTAAATGTGTAAGTAAACTCTTCCATTATTACAAAAGAACAGTAGTTTGATTCTTATATTGATATTTAAATTCTGTCATGTGTATATCTTTTTTTTTTTCTTACTTGAGATCACCAATATTCACTACTTATATACAAAAGAAAATATTGTTTCATCAATCACAATGTTATGCAATAATGATATATTATCTTTTATTACTTTGCTCAAGTTAAAAACAAATGTATACTTTATTTTGGTATATATCTATAATGTGATCCTTCAGCAACCATCCCTGATGAAATATTAACTAAAACCAAGTGTTTTACAGTAATTTTCAGTTTGAAGAATATAATTTTAATAACTAGAAGGATTAAAAAAAGATATTGATAGAGTGCAGTGGTTTTCAAACTTTATGAAGCTATGTAACTCTCTTAGATGAAAGTTACCAATTCCAATACAGTACTTACCTTCTCTCACAAGATTAGCTATTCTCTTTCAGTGCTATCTTCTATATGCAACTTTTTCTTTATGTATGCCACAAGCCTTCCACTCCCCCTGTTGGAATTACTATATTCCAACATGTCTCTCATGTAAATCATCATGTGTCATCTCTTAACGGATAGTAGCATGATATGCTCATGTGACTCCCTCTACACTCCTCTACTGAACTTTAACTTCTTGTTACTATGTGGGGTCACACCGGGGGGAATGAGCACTACATAGGTTAACCTTTGTCCCCTGACATCACCCAGGCTCCTCCTGAGTTGGCTGATCTTGTTCAGAATGACAAGGACTGTGATCATCTTTTCCCACCTCCTGAGTTTGCTGATCTTGTTCAGAATGACAAAGACTGTGATCATCTTTTCCCAGCTCCTGAGTTTGCTGATCTTATTCAGAATGATAAGTACTGTGATCATCTTTTCCCACCTCCTGAATCTAATGTTAGTCTTACCCATGACCAATATTCTGACCTACGTCTTACCCTGACTAACATATTATGGTGTCTTTCTTCCATACATCTCCTATTAGAAATTCTTCACAGAAATCCTGAGGGGTTTTCTGCAGATACCCTTACACTTCTCTCGTTCACTTTGGCCCACATTTTATCTTTGGTTCTGTTATTACATATGTGGTTTCATTGTTCTTGGAACCTTATAGGTAGAGACACAGTTTTGGCTCGGGTCAATTTACCCTCAACCTATCTCAGGGATTTACATCATGTCTTTGATACAGACCTATCTCAGTGATTTACATCTTTCACCTTTTCTGAGACATTATGTCTTTGATACAGTCCCAGAAACTGTTGAGCCTCGGTTGACATCGACCCACCAGCTATCAACGCTTACAACTTTTGTAGCCTGCTTGTCTCAGTCACAGCCTCATACACCACCTATTCCCATCTTTCATCCTCCCAACCCTTACCCATTCTTTCTAATCCTCGATGATGCAGCATCAGTGACTACCTTGTAGGTTTGGGTCCGATGGGAGCTTGACTATTAGAGGTTCTTTTTCACTGGCATCCTTCATAGATGATCAATGGGTAATATGTGTTCCATCAGAAGGATTCACTATCCAGTTTCTTTTCCCACCTCCCGTTTCTCCTTGCCCCATTTTCTTCCCTCCTCCTCAAGATCCCGTGACCTACCAGCGTCTGTCAAAAGTGGTTCGAGAATTGCTTTTGCAGTGGGTGATTGAATTAGTTCACCATCCTTCTAGGGTTTTTTTCATTTCCCCAAGAAAACCAGGGATTAGTGGCCAGTCATCAGTTTATCTTGTTTCAACCGCTTCATTGTACTCCCCCGAGTTCACCATGGAATCTTTTCTCACCCTGAAATAGGCATTTTCCTCAGGGTTGTGGATGACAAAGATGGATTTCTCCAGTGCTTACATCCACATCCCAATAGCACATCGTTCTCAACCTTACCTTCAGTTTGTCCATCTTGGGGTGGTTTACCAATTCAGGGCACTTCCCTTCAGACTTGAGTTGGCTTCCTATGTGTTTTATCACATAGTCTGAGCTTTTACATGTCATTCCCATGCTCTGAGGATGCAATTTCATTATTACATGGACGACTGGCTCTTTCTGGCTCATTCCAAAAAGCAATCAGCCACTCATACTCACCAGCTCCTTTCTGTGATGGCTCGGGTGCGATGATTGATCAAATTGGAGAAGTCTTTCCTTTGACCCACTCAATATCTAGTCCATTTGGGAGTCTTTTTCGACACCAATATCAGTCGTTCTCTGCCCTCTCCTTTATGTCTTCTCAGCTCAGTTACTTACTGCTCACAAGGTTTTATCACTTTTGAGGATGTGATCCTCCATGACTGTACTGGTCCCTCTAGGTCGTACCCTTCACTGGGAACTTCACGAACGATGGAACGTTGCTTGGATCCTCTTTCCACCATTTCTCTTCCTACTTCCCTGTAAGACAGTCTTCATTGACAGCTGGACAAAGACCGTACAAGAGGCATGCCACTTCCTCCACCACATCTGGATGTAAATTTTATCACGGACACATCCCTTCAGAGATGGGGGTATGAATCAATTACCAGGAAGCTTCAGGTCATTGGTCTGCAGCTGAAACTGTCCTGCATATTAATGTTCTCCAACTTCTACCAGCACATTGGGCATTTCATCACCTCCTCCTTTTCGCCCATCATTGTCTGGTGATGATTCATTCAGACAGTTCTATGGTGGTAGCACATATCAACTACCAAGGGGGCACCCAGTCCAGAGACGTATGTTTTTGGACGTTGGAACTATTATACTGGGCCCATGCACATCACATTCTCCTTGTCACATATCATGTGCTGGGTGCTTTCCATCTTGTCATGGATTGTCTGTCACACCCCGACCAAATATATCCAATGGAGCGGGTATTGAATCCATTTGTTTTCAGGGATCTTTGCCATCAATGGGTTTTTTCCCAAACTGGATGCCTTTGCCATCGGCCTCAATACCAAGCTGCCCCTTTTTTTTGTCACCCGTACTGCATTCACAGGCTTTGGCAGTCAGTGCCTTCAAGCCAGAATTGGTCACACAAATACCTTTATGTGTACCCTCCCATCTGATTGCTTCATTGGGTGATTTCTTCTCTTGTCCACTCCACTTCTTGTTGGGTCCTCCTGGTTGCTCTCTATTGGTCAGCTCAACCTTGGTTTCCAAGGCTATAATGTCTGTTCCTATCACCACCTGTCTCTCTTCTACTTCTCCCTCCCTTCTTTGTCAGTCCCAATCCCACATTCTACATCCCATTCTCCATGTCCTGCATCTTAATGCCTGGCTTTGTCTGGTCCGTGGCAAGATGATCTGGTTTCACATGTCACCACCTTGCTAACAGAGAGTTTCCTGCTGACAAGCCTTCTGTGGCTCATGTGGTGGAATTTCTCTTTTGGCTCGTTTTGGCCTACTCTTCCCTACCTTCTTCCTCCTAAACCTTGGTCCAGGTTTCCTCCCATCAGATCTGACATCTCACATTTTCCCTCACTTCTCATCTTTGACATCCGATGGAGGGGATTCAACAGTCCGGCATGTTCATCTCCCACTATCTTCATCATGTCGCACTTTCCTTTTCATTGGGGTTTCGTCTACCACCTGTGGCCATTCTCCAGACTTCAGTGCGACTTTTGCTGGTAAGTTTTCTTCATAATTTCTTTCTTTCAGGGGCCTTTATCTCTTTTTATCACATAGATCTCACTCTGTGGCAAGTGTTACCTGACCAGGTATTCTTTAACTTTAAATCTGCACTGTACAGCCATGTTGATTTGCACTTTTTTCTATAGCTTTGTGTGCTCACCATTGAGATGGGGTGTTACACAAGATCACTTAACTGTGAATAACCTCACGATATTTTGCTTCATAAAAATCCCCATTTTGGGTCGTACCACCCATGGAATGCATAGGTAAAGCAGAAGGATATTGCTGCCCATCCCTGCCATGCCTTGAGTGAACAATTTGTTATGGTCTGCTTTTCAGAATAAGTGGAATATGGGAGTCCTTACCACTTTCCAGTTCCAAGCTGTTAGGGTTGTTGACCATAGAGGCACCCTCCTGAATGAGTTCCACAAAGAAAGGGCTAGAACCATTCAGTCGAGAGTAGGATGTTGGTATTCTGCTGGTGTAGATGAGATGTGTCCTCCAGAGCTGAGCCGTCACCTTGTTGGTTGATGTGGCCTCCTGATACCATTTACATAACCACTGGAGTCAAACCATCACCTTACGGGATGACGTGGCCTCCTGATTACATTTACACAAACACTGGAGTTAAGCCATCATCTTGCTGGTTGACGTGGCCTTCTGATACCATTTACATAACCACTGAAGTCAACTCATCACCTTATGGGATGACGTGGCCTCCTGATTACATTTACCCAAACACTGGAGTTAAGCCATCATCTTGCTGGTTGATGTGGCCTCCTGATACCATTTACACAACCACTGGAGTCAAACCATCACCTTATGGGATGACATGGCCTCTTGATTACATGTACACAAACACTGGAGTTAAGCCATTATCTTGCTGGTTGACGTGGCCTCCTGATACCATTTACACAACCACTGAAGTCAAGCCATCACCTTACCGGATGACGTGGCCTCTTGATTACATTTACCTAAACACTGGAGTTAAACCATCATCTTGCTGGTTGACGTGGCCTCCGATACTATTTACACAACCACTGGAGTCAAGCCATCACCTTACTGGATGACGTGACCTCCTAATACCATTTACACAATTACTGGAGTCAAGCCATCACTTTACTTTACTGATACCACTTTCACGGGAGTTGAGCCATCACTTTACTAGTTGACGTGGCCTCCTGATACCATTTACTCAAACACAGGAGATGAGCTGTCTCCTTACTAGATGATGTGGCCTCCTGATACCATCTACACAACCATTGGAGTTGAGCCATCACCTTACTGAATGATGTGGCTTCTTGATACCATTTACTCAAACATGGGAGTTGAGCTGTCTCCTTACTAGATGATGTGGCCTCCTGATACCATCTACACAACCATTGGAGTTGAGCCATCACCTTACTGAATGATGTGGCTTCTTGATACCATTTACTCAAACATGGGAGTTGAGCTGTCTTCTTACTGGATGATATGACCTCTTGATACCATTTACACAAACACTGGAGATGAGCCGTCAAAATTGCAGTTCACTCCTTCAATTGGGAGACCTAATCCTACTCTCACATGGATGTCAGTACCTTGCTAAGAGGTTTTGGATTAGAGTGAACCAATCACCATAAGTCCTCACATGAATTGATTCCATGCGATTGACATCTTTTAGATACCAGATATTGATTCCTGGATTGATAGATAGCGATGATCCTTATGTCACACCCAGAAATTGGTGTGGGTCATAATCTCCAATTCCTGGGTTGGAGGTGAGGATGGAATGATCCTCATCCTACCCTCATGTGGATATTGGTATCCTGCAATTAGGTTTTGGATGTAATTGGCTTACCAAGTACAATCTGCCATGCACTAGCCATTCTACACCTCTCACTTTCCACCCTTACACAAACACTGGAGTTAAGCCATCATCTTGCTGGTTGACGTGGCCTCCTGATACCATTTACACAACCACTGAAGTCAAGCCATCACCTTACCGTCTTACACATTCCACATATAGGCGAAGAATATATCTGGCTCAGAAGTTGTGCGGTTTCCATCTTCTAATCTTTGGATATATCTCTCTCATTATCAAGGGTATCCTTCAGACCCTTTTGAAGTTACTTCTTTCATTCTCTCGCACCAGTCCCTCCTCCTTCTCTATGTGGGATTCTAGCTAATCTTTTGATTGGAGATAAGTACCGTATTGGAAGTTACTTTTCCTATACTGAAAATGCATTTCTGGTAGGTATTTACCTCTTCTCACACTCCCCATCCTTCTTCCTCACTTCTCGAGTGCTCACAACTTCTGCCATACTTCGAAGTGAAGGTATGGTAGAGGAGTGTAGAGGGATTCAAGTGAGTATATCATGCTACTATTAGTTGAGTTGACACATGATGATTTACATGAGAGACATCTTGGAATATAGTAATTCCAACAGGAGTGGGGAGGCTAAAAGTTTGCATATAGAGGGAAGCACTGAACAAGAATAGCTGATCTTGTAAGGGAGGTAAGTACCTATCGGAAATTATTTTCAGTATAGGAAAATTATAACATTCATAAAAGTATTGTTAATGTAAAATTGTATAAAAATATTATGCTATTTATTTATCTAAAATTAAATAAATTTATTTTTATACTGGTCATACAGTATTTAATATTTCATACAATAAAAAATTAATGGTAACATAATTACCTTTATTTAAGTGATGGATGCACCTGCTTTTTCTCCACAAAGTTCTTTAATATTTTGTGCAATGGTTGTCAACTGTAAATGTGTGTCATCTTCTGCTTGCAGCCTACTTTGATATTTGTTCTTTGTGGGTACATATAATGAGAAACCTTTCTCACATAGCTAGTTTGTAACAAATGGCTTCAGAAACTTTACTGCATAATGAGCAATTTCTAGATACTCCTCTAAAAGTAGTAGTGAAATAGCTAACAGTGCTATTGGTTGAAATAGTGATTTTAGAGTAGTGCATATAAATAAATATAATATCTGGTTGCACTGGTTTAACTTTATATTTGTATAATGCAAAAAGAGACTTCCAACACAAAGAAAATGAGCCAATCTGCCAAAACCACATTCTATAATAGTAAATAAATCCAATAAAATAATCTTGAAATGAAAATGTTTTAACTATACTCAATATAAGTCATGTCTTCTTTGTCTCTTATCATTCATACATAAGGCAAAGTTATATACATTCAAATATTTCTCATTTCGGTTGCTTGTGTGTGTAACTGTGTGGAGAAGACTGAATATCAACTGCTCATGATTTTTAAAAATACATTTATTCCCTGACAGTATAACCCCTTTTCATACGAATTGTGAAAATTGCTGTATGTAGTGCAAAACAACTTTTACTTTCCTACCAATAAAGTCATTAGTTTTTATATGTTTTGTCTTTATAAGCATATTTATAAACATATTACTATTATAGTGTGTCCTCTTTTAAAAATATATCAATATATAAATTTATTGAAGTAAACTTAAATAATTAGAAGAATCCTATTTATTATGCCATATGTTGAAGTGTTCTGTACTGCATAGGCCTGGTTTTTCAGGGTATCTGTTGCAACACTTTCTTGTTTCTTTCCATTTTGGATAACACACTCTGCAGTGCTTTTTTGGATGCATATTTGAACTACCAGGCAAAGGTGGAATAGGAACTAAAGCATGGACAGAAATGAGGGTTGCTGGTAATGAATTTCTTTCGAGTAACAATTCCTTTTGAATTATGCATTTCCACTAGTTGCTATATGACCTTTATGATATACTGCTTGAAAGTAAATTTTTCATTTACAGTTTTTTTGTAAACAAGAAAACTATATAGCAGCATACGCATCAGCAAGTGTAGGCCTAACTTCTTGAACCACACATGGGATTTACGACTTGGGTCAAAAGGCTACAGCAACTGATCTGCTTTATCAACTCCTCCCATGTATTCATTATACTTTTCTATGTGGTATGGTTTTTCGTAAAATTTTCTGGTCCCCCCTTAAGTAAGTTTTATCCCTTTTCAACAAAACCAGCTTAATATTTTGTGGTTGTCACATATACTGCTCTTTTGTCTTCCCATTTCATTATCAGAGCATTGTCTTTACAAAAACCACGTCATAACGCTCCAGATGCTCATTAGCAAACTATTTTGGGACTTCTCTATTTGTGCAAATTGTTACCGTCATCGTCATATTTTGAGTCTCCAAAAAGTGTGCTGATCGAGTACTTGCATACCAGTTGTCCACAATTACATGATGCCCCTGTCCAAAAACAGATTCTAATAAATGGACAACTATTTTTTCACTAGATGCAAGTTTATTTACTCCTTCAAAATCAGGCAAAGAATATTGGTTGTTTGGGTCTTTTTCATAGTACACCCTAAAGTTATAGTTGTACCCACACCAATTATTTTTACTGTTGCACATTACAAATAATTTGATGCCAAATCTTGTGCATTTAGTTTTTATGAATTGGCGAAAGCCTAGCCATCCTTTCCATAAAACTAATGCCTCATCAATTTAAATATGTTCTCCTGCATCCAAATTTTTTCATCAAAATGTTTCTCAAAAGCTCACAAAAAGCATCCAAGCGTGTAGAAGGTACATTTTTTTCACATCATTGACTTTGATAAAGTGTAAAAATTTCATAATTGACATGTACCTGTCTCTACTCATTATGGCAGCACAAAGAAAATGAATGCCTGGTTCATAGGGCATTCTTGGCCAATAATGATTCATATCACTATATTTACATATTCCAGTATAAAAATAAAGAGCAAGAAACATAAATATATCATTTTGAGTGACGTCTTTACACCAGATACTATTTACAATTCCATTAGCTTGTGGATTAGCATAAAAAAAAGCCTTTGCTGAATCAATTACACAAAAAGCAATATGGTTTATAACTTCACTCATAATAAACCTTTTCACACACTCTTAAACACTCATGTGATCTGAAAAGCCTACTGTGGGGTTGATCCCACTGAAATTATGCACGAATTGTGGCTCCAGTTGAGGCCTAGCATCATCAAACACATTAGGAACATGTTTCCATCCTCCGGGCATTTAATTCAGTTGAGGCAAGTTTTGAAATTTAATATGTCACTGCAATCTGAATAATCACAGCTATCAAACTCCATATCACTTTCATCTGGTACATATTCACTACTACTGTCACTCATACCCTCACCATTCGACATTTTTTGTATTATTTTACTCAAACAATTCAAACAAATGAGATGTATTTATAGCTAGTTACCATTCAATCATCACCCGCATGCAACTGACACAAACCCGTTATTACTTCAATCAATTATGCATCACTTATTTTGTGAAAGTTTCTGATTGGTCAATAAAAATGACATCATTTAGATTGAAGAGCATTATGAGACATTCGATAATGCTCTGATAAGCATTATGGAATACTTTCCTTCTTAAACATAAACTTAAGCATGATGACTCCAACAGTGGCGTCATCACATGGATAATCAATACTTCCTATGATGCTAACATTGGAGTCATCGTATGGAAGGGGTTAAGATCTAATAACTGAAAAACAATGCCATTACCTGTTGTCTTTATGGGGAACTCATGATGACCCTTTGCAGAACCCCAAGGTTCTATAGAATGCAATTTGAAAACTACTAATATAGTGTATCAGAAGGCAGTTTCATAAAGCCTTTGCATAATTAGCAAAAACCAAGAAGTAATTTATCATTTTCTAATGGGCTTATTTTAATTCTGCAGGTATTCAAGATGTATGTAGCATTTCAGTATTAAAACTTGTACGAATAAAATTATGCAATGAAAAAGTTAGTAGAAATAGTTTTAATTTCAAATTTAGTAATTAGGTACAACCTAAAAGTTAGTTTACTTCTGTCCT